CGAGAGAAAATATATATGAAAATCTGCGATGAATCGATATGACGAATATATTAATGAAAACGGTCTGATCGTTTTTTTTTTTTTGCGGAAGAGAAGAAAGATTGTGAAATTACGAAACGAGAAGCACTGTGAGAAACGTACACGCGTGTATATTAAATTTGCTTTTTAATTTCGTATATCGCGTATAATGCACAATGTTTTTTATCGAATAAAATCGTACCGATTGAAAGAAATTTCCGTCATCGCACTTCCTCAAATCATAAAGTCTCCCTTCTAACGTTTTTCCATCGTTCCTTCCTCTCTATTTTAAGATTCTTTTCGCACGATAATTTATATATTATAATTCGTAATCTCCAATCTGTTTTCTTTCCATATAAAAAATAGTCTTGACTGAAAAAAACAATTTATTCAATACATGTAAAAAAACACGAAATATCAAGACGATATCTTACTGCGATCGAATACTTTCTCGAACGCGTCATTATAATTAACGCTCGAACGAAAATTTCGAGCGGAAAATGTTTCGCTGCGTATTCCGGATTACCGGTTTACAGTTGCAGCGAAAACGACACACAGGATTTTTCCTCGGGAAAAATTTTTACGTGGCGACCATCGATGGAAATGTTAAACGAGATCGAGGCGATTTTCGGAGGGGTCCAAGCGTTGCATTACAAACCGGGCCAATTTTTTCGCATCGCTCTCTATCTCGTCGAATATATCCGCGTGCATCGAACCCAGCCCTGTCAAAAAGCAGCGGGGGCTCAGGCAAAACCACTAATAGCGACGCGCTTGCCTCCGATTTTTATTTATCTCGACCGATGCGTATCGATCGACACGAATTAATGCGCCACTATTGTGCCGCGGTGTCACGTCCAGCCCAGAAAACAGCATCGTTCGGCGTTGATCCGTTGGTGACGATTGCGCCGAAACTCTTTACCGGTTCACTGGCCACGTTACACTGCGCGTGAATAAATTCGAATGACTCGAATTTTTGATCACCCCCCTTTTTTTTTGATTTTTCTTTCTTTTTTTGTTCTTTGCACGCAAGTTGATCTTCGAGTTGGTTGGTTGATTCGTGTATAAAATTTAATCCTTTGAAGAACGAGAGTGCGGCGAGAGCGGTTATGAAAGGTTAAATGAAATTAAATCAAGTTGAATTGAGTTTCGAATGAAATTGTACCGGTGATTTGATTTTCAACGTAATAAGCTACGTTTGTTGTGCGTTCTTGTTACGTTAAGTGTAATTATTAATTAGCTGGATGAAAGGAGAGGAATTGAAGAGATTCTAAATATCTACGTTCAATGACACTGTGATACGAAGAAAGATGAATTGTTGTTACACGTTGTTGTGTGACAATGTGATGTAGCATCTTTTGTGATGAATATTTGTAGAAAGGGAAAAGTTTTAATAATGAGCGTAAGTTGATGATGATATCTGCAGCACGTACAAACATGTACATATATATGTATTTATATTTATCGATAATTTAAAAACTTTCAGTTTCCTTTGAAGTGTGAGTAAATCCTTACAATAAAAGTTTCTTTTATTAAACTGAAAGAAAACTTTAGATTTGAAAGGATCTTTGAAAAGTGAATCAAAGAATGAAGTGAATAGGGGAAGAAGTTTCTCATACCGTTTACAAAGAATTATCGCCATTAAATGTTCTTCAGAAATTACAAACGTTAAAAATCAAGCGTTTTCGTTGTATAAAGAATTTTCTATCCTCTACACTTAAACCCTTATAATAATAAAAACTCCATTGTTACGATCGAAAATCGGTGTAAAAATTTCCAAAGTTTCATCTACGCAGAACGTAACAACTTATTACAAAAAATATATATATATACAAATGGATATTTCAATTATAGTCAAAAGAAACTCACGTTTCAATAAATCATCCTTCAATAATCGCAACGAATACTTCGATGCTTTTCTCGCCTTCAATTTTCGGGTCAGATTACCAAATTCATATCGCGAATCGTCGCTGAGGTATTATGCCAGCGCGAATCAAGCACGAGGTCGATATCAACGAAGCGGAACACGTCTTCCAATTGAATTTTACCGATAAAAGGGCGAGGAGGGCGGGGAGGGAGAGATCGAAAGAACGACTCGTTTCGATTTTCCATGCAAATATTAGCAGTCGTTACTGGCGGCTATCGGTTTAATTGGTTTTCTCTACGATCACCGGGACGATCGTCGAATTAATTTGGCCGATTCAGACGGAATTAGCACAGGTAAATCCCGTCGAATAACCGCAAATGAATATCGATAGATTTGTTTACCAGACCTTCACTTGCTGCCAACTTTAATCGAGAAAAAAATATCATAGTTTCTCGTCTGGTGCGTCGTATTGTGACTGTGTGCAAATTTTTTACGATTTTATTTTATTTTCCTTTTTTTTTGTTATTTTTCTTTTTTTTTTTTTTTGTCTACGAACGATGCTTCTATGACAGGTCATGCATTAGATGCATTATTCTGGACGTGACCGATAAATTCATAGTGTGGACAGCATTTCACGATTCTTCAATATTGCATGCGAATTCAACTGCCATCCAGGGGAACAACTGAACGACTATCGGACGACAAGCAAAGCTTAAAATAGGAGGGTCGATTTATTGTAGCCAGCCATCGACTGGAAATTAAATCCTCTGGAGATTTTGCCGGACAGGCTGTTGGCAATTCAAGAATCTTCTGAATTTCAATGACCTTTTTTTTCGTGTTAAATGTTATAACTTATTCTTGACAATGTTATTGTGGAAAGAGTAGAATTTATTAAATTGTAGTAATTTTTTGCAATTGATTTTAGTTCATTTCTGTTTGAAAAAAAAATGGAAAAATGCTCACTGTCATTGTATGCTAAACAATATAATCCTAAAATTGAAAGTAATAGTTGAGATTAGTGCCAATTACATTACCCAATAAAAAAAATCGACGAATATTCACCTGATAGAAGAAAAAAAAAGAACAATAGGAACTTTTTATTCACAGTAGTACAAGTCAATATATACTTCTTCGATGCTGAAGAAAAATTGATAAAACATTTTTGGCTTCGCAATATTAATCTTTTCACGCTTATTATTCGTTATAAAATTTTATTATTATATATCAGTTGATCCAATAGATCTCTTCATTACGAAAATTTATATTGAAAATACTTTCATCACCTTTCGATACCTAAAAAAACACAAAGATTAATATTTAAATCATGTAATTATTCGATTCTAAGTTTTCTTAATATATAAATTTACCTATTATTACACATTGAAAGATCCGAATAAAATTTAAACTAACGTAAGAAACGTAAAGAAAATTACGTTCGTTTCACAAATACTCGAATTGTCGCTCGAGAAAGAAAGCTCGAGGAATGTTCTGAAAATCGAGGAGAGAACGATTTTTCCCCCAAAATTCGTGCGATCGCCGCGAAAATTGGGAATGCTGGAAGCATTCTTCGAGTTTGGATGCGAGCACGGACAAAGGGACTGGAACGCTAATCCATGGCGTGCAAGCAGATTTCATGCGGCATCGGCCACCGCTGGACGAACTTGATGCAAAGTAGATCAGAGAGCTTTTGAGCACGAAACATTGTTGCCCTGTTTCGCGTATATACGGGTAGCATCATCTAAATTCTACCACGATTAGACACACCACCGGAAACAATTTCCTTTGCCGCCTACCGGCCCGTTAATAACGATCTAACAAAATATACTAACTAGTCGCCCATATTGGATACCATAATTCGTTTCGTGCCGCTTTAACTCTTATTAATTAACCCTTTGCACTTGATATTCCAATATTTCCAATATCGATATCGTTCTTCGTTTCGTTGATTATATCGTTTTGAAAATTAAACAGTAGAATGTTGAAGATATATTTCTTGAATGATTCGTATATTATATTGTTCTTGCATTATTATTACGTCATAATAGTATATTTTAAAACATAAAATTTTATGTATCGATAGATTTCCTGCTCAAGTGGATTATTGTTACTCGTGTTCGCTATTGGTTTATTCATTTCAAATTTAAAAAGAGACTGTTAAAATTAGAAATTCAATAACATTGAAAGAGAGAAGATACTCTTTTATACGATCCTCTCTTTTATTTGCTTGTTTATTATGGCGAGATACGATTGTTTGAAATTTTTACTTTGTTTTTGCGTGTTGCGATATTCAATACGACATCCCGGTTAAATTCAGTTTGATTGATAAATCGTGTTTTACAAGTTGGTTTGAGGAACCATATTGTAACATGCTACACAAAGCTTCATGAAAGCATGTGCCGAGCAATCTCAATTCAAAGCTTCAAAATTTCACTTCTAATAAAGAAAGATTGAAAAATTGAATTGATCGAATAAAATTTATTAGTGACGAAGTATTTTTAAGGGCCATTGAAATTAATTACTCTGATGCCGTTTAAAGATTGGACTAACTTGTAAATATGAACAGATATATAATTCTTTGAAAATCTTCGAATGATCGATCGCGCTTTCACGAATCTAAAAATTAATTTCGATCCGTAATTAATTACGTTTCCCTTTCAATTTCTCATCTTTCGTCATATTTATCAATCTCTTTACAACTACCTTTATTTTCTCTTCCAGAAGAACTACACGTTTCTGATTCCAATTTCGAATCTAAAGATTTAAATTTCCAATTACATTATGCCCCCCTTCTAATTTTTCATCTTTCTTTATCAATCTCGCAATCCCTTTATGATTCTATCTTTATTTCCTTTACCTCTCGTTCAAACGCACGTTTCTCCTTCCAATCTCACGAATTTAAAAATTTAAATTTCGATCCATTTCTAATTACTTTACATCCCTCTTTTACTTTCTCATTTTCAACACCAATCCATCCTTAACCGCTCACAGATCAAATTCATCTACCTTCGTTCCGTCCATCTCTCGATCAAACGCATCGTTTTCCGTTCCAACACGCGTATTTCTCATATTTCAATTTCACGAATCTAAGATTTCTATTCCACCTTTAATCGCTTCATACTCCTTTCGTAACTCGATCTATCAAATTTCTTCACTTCGATGAATTACAAAAATCGATCCGTCTCTTGCATATCAATCCCTTCTTTCGAATACAATTTTTTAAAAAAAAGAAGGGATCCACGAACGTGATCTCGTGGCTCTTAAGGCAAAAGACAGGCTCGTTTGAGAAACGGGTGTACTCGCTCGAACGCACACTAGCCGAGGGAATTTTATTTAAATAAAAACCTTAATGCCTTGGAACGGCGTCCAGAGTGCTAAGGATAAAGTTTGTTCCGAAAAAGTTGTCCAACTTTCTCTCGGCGCGGATCTGCAAATATAAAATAGTTTTCTGGGCGGCGGACGAAAGTTAACCTTCCCCGTCCACGCCCGGAGAAATCGTGTAAACCGAATTTTCTCCTTGGGCATTGGCAAGTTGGGAAAAGAAAGAAAGGATGGAAGCAATCCAAGAAGTCGAATTTCCGCGATTCATTTTTGCTCGACGCGCGCGTTCACGCGCGGAAAACGTTCATCGCGGGGAGGGGAGGGACAGGTAAACAAGGCGGAGACGAGAGATAGCAAATTCTTTTCAGAATCTTAGCAGAATTGAATGACTCGAGTCGATTTCGTTCGGCGGAAAGTTTCGATCGTTCAAAGTTCGTTCGTAAAGTTTCAGCTTAGCGACGATTCTCCGAGATCTTTTTAGTTTCAACGTTCCTCTTATTCTACAGAAACCGGTTTATTTAATTATCGTAGATGTTCGATCGAACGTTATTGCGATTGCTTTATATTTCGAGATGTTTCTTCCATTGAAAATAAAGTCTTTTTCTGTATTTCTCATTTGAAGATCGTTAATAATTACTCACGAATTTTTATTCGGTCCATTGTGCGATATAAATTGTAATAAAAACTGTCCTAAAAAATTATAACACCGATCTACACAACGCTAAATAAATGGATTTATATAAAACAAGTATCTCATAACCGAGATACTTCTTTTCTATTCCTAAATCAAGTTAATAATCGTAACATCTTCACCCTATCGAAACCTCCATCCCTAATATAATCGATAAGAAACAAATCGTAGAAAGAAGGACTCAATTATTTTACCTGTGAAAGTAGGATACGATAGTCGGTCGGCCATTGAGAAGTGGCGAGGAAAACCGTACGTGTACAACCAGTTCCTTTACCCCCTCCTTTCTTCCCTCTTTCCTTTTCTTTCTCCAGCCCTTACATCCCCGGAAGGGGGAAAAAACCCTCTACCTTTGCAACCAGAGCGTCAGACTTTTAAGCCTCGGCGCAGAATCGTTTAGTCGTTTCGAGCTGATAGCCGGATGGAACGTAATAAAAGTACGAGTCGAGGACGCGACTACATCGAGGAAAAAGAAAATTCCTTCCGGTCGTTTTAATTCGCGCATCCCTCCCTCCATGCCTCCTCCGTTTTCAACGTCTTTCCTTTAAAGATCGTGTCGCGATCCACGCGATTACGCAACGAGTTCGTTCGTACTCTCTATTTTTAAGAAAGTCTCTCCTCCAGTTCTTTTTTTTTTTTTTTTTTTGAGAAGGAAAAATTATTATCGTTGCTGTTGTCATTTGTTATTGGCATTTGTTGAAGGAGACGGCAAAGTAGCAGTTGTTCGAACAAAGTACTCGTTCGTTACTTCATACTCTCGTTTAATTAACGAAGTGTCGCTGAGTTGAGGCGGTCTAAGTTAAACGGAAGTTCGGACCGAGCTCGTGGGAGTCCGCAAGATGTGGTGCACGGAATTACGTTTAAAGAGGTGTTTGTCTCGGGTTTCTTATGATGTGGCTTGGATTGTGTCTTGAGCGGAGTTCGGTTCCCTGTTAATTTTGCATAGGGAATATCAATCTTGGAGTTTGATAAAATTCCAATCATTTGGAAGGAGTACAAAATATTTAGAAAAGAAAAACTTTTGATAAGAATCTATCCTTTAATAAATGATAAAAGGGAGGGGAAAAAGGAAATGATTTCGATGATTTCAAATTATCGTAGTTTTGAGAGTATAAAAATATGTACAAATAAGCATCCTTTCTTCGTTAGTTTATACTTCTCGCGATGGAATAAAATATTTTCCATTGAAAATTCTGAATAAATATTTCCATGTAAGTTTTAATCCCAGTTCAGTTTTGTGATATCTTCATCACGGATCTGGGAACAATTGTTCTCTCATAATTGTTAATTACCACGGGAATTACAGAGGGAACACGATATTTACGCTTAGTTTCGTTGATGCATCGTAACTCGAAAAGGATAACGCGAGAACCTTTGATGTCCATGAACGGAATGTACTTTTCCAACGAGGAGTTTATTATTTGTTCAGAGTGGAGGAGTATCGCGGATAACATTCGTGACTGAGAATAGAATACTGCGAATTACAGTCACGTGGAATTTCATGTTTATTGGTACATACAGGAGGGTAACGAAATTTAGAAGATTCTTGCTTCGTTACCTTCGATACTCTCTGTTAACTTCTGTGACAACTTTGATACAGAAATGCTGTTGATGTAGTGTATGTAATGGTATTTCTCGTATTTATCCCTGAAATTATAAAAAAAAGAACAATTTCGTTATATACAAACAAAATAAATGAATGAATTTTCCATTCTTTTTCTCAGAAAATATAAATAGAAATTTTTCATATTGTATTGTCAAATCAATTATCGTCCCTATGCGAAATTAATATTCTGTTAAATACAATAGATGAAATCATTCGATCAACCATTCAAAATTGTGAAATAAATGGAATCAATCAAATCAACGAATTTTTTTTCACATGAAATTTTATTTTATTGATAAAATTTTTAAATGAAATCGCACGAGAAAAATGGCCGAAAATCAATTTTTAGCGTTTAACGATTCAACAGAGAGCATCCACCAAATTGACCATCCTTTAAATTTTAAACAAAGAGTTTATCAATCCCTGTATATTATTACAATCAAGATTAAAATTTATTTCGTTCGGAATTTATTTGAAATTGCACGTGTAAAACGAATAAAGCATCCCTCGTAAAATTAATAAATCAAATCAGCGCGGCGAATAATCAAAGACCGAAAAAAAAAAAAAAAAAAAACAAAGTATCCCGTAAGAGTTATTTGCACGAGTTTACCGTTCGAGCTTGATAAAACGTAAACCGACGCGTCGTGAGAGGGAAGGAAATTGCGTTTCGGGGGAGGGAAAAAGGGAACGAGTGGAGCGAGCAAACGGTGCTCGGTTAATTACCATTTGTTCATGTGCGACAGACAAGCGTATCTTGAACAGGATGGAAGACGTGGAGGAACAACGATGTTTCTGTCACACCACAAGTCTGAATCGTCGATGTACACAAACGAATTGTGCACAAACGTGCGAGGCCATTACCACGTTCGCGTGGATCACTCCATATTGAATTAGGTCGCGTCCATCGCCGGAAATTATATTCGACTGCAACTTCCGCGTAATCAGTGAGCCGGGAAAACTGCGAACGAAGCGAGATTAACGTCCGGCCTCGTGGTCATTTGTCTCGTGAATTATCGACAGTGTTTTTTCTCTTTTTTTTTTAATTCTTTTCCCTCTCATTTAATCGGGTTGTTGCGGACGAAGTGAACGAAATTATTAATGGAGGAGGACGTTATTTGGACACTTTGTTAGAGATAATTGTCCATCGTGAAGAGTAGGGTTAAAATTAGATATAGGATGATCGATTTGATTGATTCGATCGATCGTATCGTTAATTAAATTTATATTCGTGTTTTATCGTTACTCTGAAACAATTGATAAAGTAATATCCATTTTTATACGCGAGCTATATTTGTCTAATAATAATTCCAAGCTTTAAAAAAGTTTTATATATCGATAAAAAATTAGCTATTTCACATGCATTTTCATTTGGTACAATTTCGCAGTACAGTTTTACTGGAATCGAACGAAAAACGTCTTGTTTCTCCGTGAAGTCTTTGTCCTTCTTTTTCTCTTTCTTTTTTTCTTGAAAGCATGAGTTGGCAATAGACCGAAATGGAAGGATGAGGTACAACTTATTGTTAAATATGATCTAAGTCCAAATGCGTTTGCTGGCATCCGAGAGCTAAAAGTTTCTCAGATCTACGCTTTCTTCAACGTTGAGCAGAAGAGGAAAACAACTTTGTACTTAGTCACCCAGTTTCGGGACTTATCGTCAAGAAATGTATAATAAACTACGTCCAAGGCGAACAACCGGTCCTCACATCGAGACTTGGATTTTGTAGATCGTCTCCTCCCTTCGATTTCTCATCGCCATCGTGCCACCTAGAGAAACTTCTCTGTGATACAGAATGTTTCAACTTTTCCACTATTTGCCCACGTAGAATTGTTCGTACAATTTTATGTCTCGCACGTAACGTAATAATCGAAATTATTGCGGATGAAAATCGATTAAATTAATATCCATGAAATTCCAATTAACGAATCGATTGAAATAATTCCACAATTAAATAATCATCTCACCTTTCGTTACTGCGTACATACAGTTTTTCGATCGTACATCGGGAATAAAAGAAAATAGCCATTCCACCACAATTTTCGAAGAAAATAGATTCGTGCATGAAATCGAATATTCATAACATTTCGTCGTTTTTGATTCCTCGAAGATATCCCTCGTATAATATATTAACGCTCTGTTTTCATTGTAACCCTTTATCGATAAATGGAATAAAAGTAGGGACACGTGAGATCCATGGACGAGTTGTTATCGAGGAAAATCATCGACGACGTTCCCGCCGGGCTTTTTCTTCCTGCTCTCTGTCGATTTCCTTTTCACAGATTGCCGCCGAAAGAAAAAAACTCGTGCTCGTGCCTTACCTCGTTATAAGCTTCCTCGATAACGCTCTCCCACGGGACGTGTCAGATCCCTTTCCCTACCTCCACCTCCCTCTTGTTCACCTCCCTTGCTCCCTTTCGTGTATTTTCACACGGAATATTTTGACAGGCCGAGTCGTCTTGCTCGGTTGATTTTTATTGGCCCGCGTGGAGGCGAGCAGGTGCAGAGGAAACATTTTAAAAAGAGAAATTTTCCTACTCTCGCGCCGGACCGGTGTTACCAACGCTCCAACGACTTCTATAACGGGGGTTAAAACTCGTAACAACGGGTTGCCCGGTTATAATTTTGAACGCCGTCACTTTTCCAAAGTTTCGGAAATTTTTCGATCTTTCCAACGTTGAATACGTGTCTCTTTCCCTCACGATTCTTCGATTCTGTAGAATAACAGAAGTTGCACGGATTTGTGAGTTTTCCTCTTTTTCTCTCCACGTTCGTTTATTTCCTTTCGTTTGTTTGATTTCCCACTCGATACTGGGAAACCGAATGAAATAAATCTTTGGGAATTGGAAATTGATGCGGGCCGAAAAAGAAAACGCGAAAGTATGTTACTTCATTTAAAGAGATTGAATTAATTTGAACATTTCTTTGTATATCGTGAACCGCAAAAACTCCCCTTGAAATCGATCCCCAAAAAGTATTTAGTATTTTTCTCTAAGAAATACTCTTCACGATTAAAATCTTTATATATGATTCATCGTGCTTTGTGGTTTCATTAAAAAAGAAAAAAAAAAACAAAATGACGCAATCAATCATCATACATGAAACGTATGAAAGAGCATAATGTCTGGTACAAAAATCCGTTCAACGATGAATCAAATCATCCCAGTTTGTTTCGAAAAAGATTCAGAATTTTCGCTTTTCGATGCATCGACGCGGAATCCTCTTGTAATTCCATTTTCATCCCTCGGCTAATTGTCCCTCCCTACCAACGTATCCGACCGCGTAACAAGCGCGCATCAGGCGAAGGAACAAGGGGGGAGGAATGGGAGGAACGACTGCAAAAAGCTCGTTTTGCCGGAATATAGGCTGCGTATAACCCGCCGTCCATGGATTTCTGCGCGACCAAAGGGCATTGGAAACTCATTTTCCAGCGCAAACAACGTGGCTCCAGAGGAGAGGTTCCCGCCGATTCGAGCCGTGCTCGTCTCGCCTATACACGATTTATTCTCATTTGCATACACAACGTTTCTGTATCGGTATAATCACGGATTCCGCGCTATCTTCCATCCGGGTAAAAAAGAATCCAGATATTCGGATCCCCACCTCTACTTTTTATCTGCACAGCGCAGAACTCGGCCGAACATTTTCATTCGAAACGAGCCTTAAAATGGCTCGTGGATTCCTCCTTCAGGAGTCACGTAGAGATGAGTGATATAATTTCCCATCCTTCGATATTTTCTTCTACTTCTTCTTCTTCTTCTTCTTTTTCTTTTTTTTTTTTTTTTTTTGAGTGTCTCTTACACATTATCACAGATATTTCCTGTTTCGTACGTTCTTTGATTTACGATCACACGAGACACGCGTTATCACAACGGTCTAGACTGGTGTAAATTTTTCCAGCTTAAGTTTTATTTGACTTCAACTTGAGATAAGTTTTTAATACACTTGGGAGCAGTGTATTAAAAATTCCGTCGACAAAATTTTCCCCGGCGGGCGATAAGTTTCTGCAGTTGTAATTTGCATTTTCTAACGGTTTTTATGACGAGTATTGTAGATTATATTATTCAATCCTTTTCTTTTTAATCCTCTCTCGAAACCTACCTGTGAACTATTTTATATTTTAAAAATTACTCGTCCGATGATTTCTTCCATTTATTTCAATTGATTCCACATACTAATACATATATTTATCTACTTTTATCCATCTCTTTGATTGTTTCTCGTTCACCGTTTTAAATTTAATTTCAATTATCATTTCCTCTTTCTCCTATTCCTTACGAATAATTCAATGACACTAGATAGAAAGGGATAAATCAGATCCACCTCGACAATGGCAAAGTAGCCTCGCCTCGAGTAAAATCTCATTCTTCCTTTCTGGCCAAAAGAAATACAAAGAAAGATATTTAGCCCATTTTTGGAACGGAATAACGGTCGCGTTTGATCCTTTGCAAACACGTGAGAAGGCCGCGCGTCTATTCTAAGGAGGAAGAAGTAAGAAAAGATGGCGAGAAACATATTCACAGACATGATTTCTCTGAGAAAGGACTTTGTTGGAAGGAACCGCTGGAGGAAACGGACGCCGGCTGGGTGAACACGTACACCGCCCTCTAACTACTTCCGGCTTCTTTGAAACATGTCCTTTTCTCGTTAGCCATTCGACTCGGAGACTTCTTTCTTCTTGGCTTCCGGCCGTACAGTTCGTTAGGCAATTCCTATTTTGTCCCGTGTCCAATTTCCACCGCGGTATTTTTGGCGCCATTACTATTCTCTTTTTCCCTCCTTTTTGCTTCTCCCTCTTTCGCCAAAAATTTCCTGCGTTGCGGAGAGGGAGGAGAAAAAAAACCCCGCAATCTTCCGTCTCGTTAGCCTCGTGATGGCTAAAATTTATTTAGTGGAAAAAATAGCACGGCATGCTGTTACTGTCGTGGTAACGATCGTTGGAAAAAAGAGAAAAAAATACCCAAGCTCGATGGAAGTTGCAAAAAAATTAACACGTCTACTGCGCTACGACGAGATGATTATTTTTTTTTCTTTTTTTTTTTTTACTATTGTCTAATGTCTCGTTCAGATTGCTTCGTTTCACCGAATCGAGAGAAATTTTGATTTGTATCGCTGAATGTCAGTCTGATCGAAATTTACAGCATAATGGTAATATTTTTTAAGAGACGGGAAAAGTTGAAAGGATTTCGATTTGAATTGAAATGTAATGATTCACAGAATTAGAATTTATATACCAACGATATAATTAAAAAAAAGATAGAATTAAAATTGTTATATTATCTGAATAATATCGTTGCGCGTCGAAATAAAAGAAGAATCGATCTGTGATTTTCTTCTTTCATATCGATCGTCTAATTGTCAAAAGTGAAACTCGAGAGACAACTCGAAATAATGCTTTAAATCGAGTGAAATAAGCGAAAGATTCACGTAGGTTGAAATTATTCGAATTCGAGGCACTTGACGATGCAGCTTTGTTAAAAAAAAAAAAAACGTTTGGTTTTATCAGTAGCTTTCCCCTTCGCGCTTCAGTTCGAAAAACAAAGCTGAGAGAGGTATTGTACGTATGAAGAGAAGGTAAACGTGCAAATGGCTGATTCTTTTTGTTCCTCACGTGGCTCTCGACAACGTATATCTTCAAATGCGAAAAACTTTATTTCCCCGTTTATTTTTCTCCCACACCTCCCCGTCTACTTCCTTCCTTCCTTGACAATAATTTATATTAGAATCATTCCAACGACTGAGCTCACTTTACACGTGGAACGAAGAATTCTACATGTACATATTCCATCGCTCGAAAATATCTGAATAATTCTTGCTCGTCAAGATCATCCATCTGTCGCAAATTACGTATGAAAGAAAACTTTACTATTCTTCATATTATCATTCCATCCATATAATACCTGTACCATCTCTTCCATGTATTCTCTACATTGCCCAATTTATCAAACCATTTGTGTACATTATATATTGTGCATCGAATCGAATTAACGTTATTCTCTCAAGATCCTTTCGACGTCGACTCGAAACTCGAGAACCACCCTCCACGTATCCTTCATATACGACGACACTTCGCTCGCAAGTTTAAGATTAACGAGCTGGAAATCTGGTTTCGGCGATGCAACAACGAGTCGCCCCCGGCAAAACACGTAACTTTTCACCCATGTGAACGAACTTCATTAAATCGATAATAGACCCCCTTTTTTCTTCCTCCCTCGGCGAATGCATCCGGAAGGGATAACATTGAAAGTCCAGGCAGAGGAGTTCGACGCACGGGAAAAGTTGGACTCCCCGCGCGAGAAGTCGACTTGGAGAAGACGACGACGTTGTTATCGACTGGTTCCATGATGCACGCCAAACTTCCTCGATATTTTACGGTCGACGCGACATCGACAATGGGCCAACCAGCTGCGAACGCCCGGGGAGTTTCGTCTCCTTTCTTTTTTTTTTTTTTTCCTTTTCTTTTTCCCCCTCCTCGATAGATTCTCGCAAGAATCTCGGTGGTAAACAGCTGCGTTTCGATCCGAGGATGTTGAGGGGGGGGGGGGGAGGATGGAACGTGTTCGCGCACCATTCATAAATTCGCGATTGTTTCCCAAGTATTCGCGGAATTCTCTTTTGATGGGAGCCGCCCGAAGCGGCTCGTGGCTTCTCCCTCCCCTCTCCCTCGTTTCTTCGAGTTTCGCGCGAGAAAGTTGGGAAGCTATGCCAGCCATGGGCCGCCGCGTATTCGCGATTCGCAGATTGTTTCGCCCTCGAAGCGAAGTGCTCGACTAACTTTTTATGTAACATCTCGTTCGATACGGTTGATCGGATCGAGAAGGAAAGCGTGGAGAGGAAAGGAAGGGAATTGAAATTTGGGGAGAGAGGAAGAAAAAAACAATCGATTTTCGTTGCTGGAAAACAAACGGAGGAAGTATTCTTGTTTTCTTATTCGTTTTGTCAAAATTAATTGATATTCGAGGTTCAGATTCGCGAATTTATATATATATAAAAAAATAGCCTTATATTTACAGGATAAATTTGAAAGGGTACGTATGATAAATAAGCATTCGCTTGAATTAACAAATTTTTTAACCGCCTCGCGTATATCTAGTAGAAGATAGATAATTCTTATTGTAAAAATCCACCAAATATTTTACAACAATGACGAAAGCACGATGTAAAAAAGCGAGGGGCGAGAAAATATAACGATATAACATTCTTTTGAAACGACAAATGCCACGAGAACGAATTTTTTTTCACGTTGATAGAAAAACGCGCACGAGTCAAATAAAGATTGAACTTCTTCTGTTCGATTCGCGAATTTTCAAAAACGTTTTTCTTTTTTTTTTTATTTTATATCGGATAGAATGAAACCACGGAATCCCCCAAACCCCCAGAACAATCGATCCCGGAAACGAGCAATCGCGATATACGGAATGGCGGTCCCAATGGTCAACACGACTCGTGTGCGCGCCGACGTAGAGTTTCATTTCGTGGAATTCAATAATCGGTTACATCGCCAATAACCGCGAGTCGTTCGATTTTATAACGGCACACACGTCCACCAATCATCGCGAGTGCTTCGATCTTATATACGATAGAACCCGCAAGAAGCCGCACAGTGTCGTTGTGTGGTCGATCGTACGCGAGAACTGCGATTAAATGAAAGAAAAATGCGTTGCAACAACTGTTTTCGTCCGCGATCAATTGCCATTTCCTTTCTTTTCTTTGTCGTAAGAAATAAATATATATATATATATATCGATAATACGTGTTTTGTAAGCATACAGTTTTTCACTACTTATCATATTAATTGTATTATTGATGCAAACTCACAATACACGTTGAATAATTGGAATTTGTAAAATTTATTTTGTTTAAATATTATAACTATATATCGTGCGTACTATACTTTGAATATCTTGCGTGTTTTTCAATTCTTCTTTCAAGCCTCCACATTTTCGTTTCAAATTTAATATAAATACGCAGTAAAATAATATAACGAGAATAAAAGTTAATGTTAAAATATATGTTCGAATGTATAATTACTCGTATAAATTATATTCATATTTATAAAATGTTATTTATATTATTATATTATTTACCTTTTGTGCTTTGACGCATACGTATTGAATAAAATAACGTAAAAAGATTCATAATGCAAGTATACGCGTTTCCCTTTTGTAATAACTTTCTTCGTAAAATACATAAATATGTATTTATTATAATTTATAAGTAAAAGTAACTTTTATCTAACCGTTAATTTACAATAATATAATAATTAAATAATTAAATACGATATATATTTATACAAAATTGTGCATACCTCGATTGATAAAAAATCGAATATATTCTTCCTCCCAACGTCTTAATATGCGACGAATATTTGCGCAGAAATCACGAGCTCGACGTGTTACGCGTTCGAAAGTTGGAAGTCGAATGTTTTGACTTCCAAATAAGAAACGAGTCGAGCGTGTTTATATCTATATATATCGCGTCGAATCGTAACGTAACTTCCGAATTTGGTAATTTCAAACGATTTTTCGCATCCTCTGCCATCAAGATGCCAACAAAAAGTTTGGCATCGATAAATATATTTTTAGAATTCGTTTTCGATATTTTTTTCCCTTCCTTTTGAAATTTTACCGATTCGTTTATTTTACCGAAGCTGAAAATATTTTCCGTTTAAATTCTATGCAAAGATATTTTTTAAAACAGAATAAATAACTTACGACTTGTTTTTTCGTAATCGATGAATTTTTTAATACGATGTTTTACAATAATTATGCGATATTTTATTAATTTTCCTTATAATATTTTAGGCGATTAAAAATCAGTCACAAAATAAATAAAAATTCATCCAAAATTATTTCTTAATCCTTAAAACAACTTCTTCCTGTAATTGTTAACGATCAAATCAAATACAATGCAACAATTTTTTTAATTGATCAATAAGAACAAAAACATATTTACCTTAATTATGTAAAAGTTTTTCACAAAATTATGTAATACAATACAATTATGTAATACGATTGTACAAAAGATTCCCTGTTGTTTTGCTCGACGACACGGATCGTGTCTAAACTTAATTTATACAGGTGATCAAGTATAAATTAGGATTGGGTCGACACGAACGGCTAATTAACCGGAAATCAAATATCGCGCATCCCGGGATTGCAACCAAACACTGCACAAGAAGATTCTTTCTCAGTTTCCATTAATCACAGCGCCAAGAATCGAAGCCCGTCCGAGACTAATTGTGAAAGCATTAATAACGGACGGAAACGGAAACTTGGAGTCGTTAAACCCGACTTGTTTCCCCCTCGGTAAACAGATCCCCCTTCACGTTTGCGCCACGATTGTGAAGTAATCATTAGGCAGACGAAACGTGAGCACGTTGAAGCCGCGAGTGCGACAGAAAAATACGATACAATTCCACCCTTTTCTTTTTCATCAATCGCAACCATTCTCCTCCCTTTTCTTTTCCAACTTCGTTTCGACATTTTACTCGCCGATATTGAACACCGGTTTAATTCATCAGCAGGCTCTCAGAGTTTATCTTGGGATCGAGCAACAATGCTACGCGATTTGAAAAGAAAGTGATCTCGAGAAGTCAATTAACCACGAACAAAGGATAGTAGCCGGTAATTTCGAGCTATTTATGAAGGACCACTTGTTCGAGGACGTTTGAGGCGAGGGTCACAAAAGCGGGAACTTCCATTCGAGGGGAGGGAGATAAAAAAGGGACAAAAAAGGGAAGAAACGAGAAGAGAGGAGGAGAAAAGAAAGGAGGAGAATCAAGTTCCATCGAAGCGATTAATTTGAAATTTCTTTCCACGAAGGATGCGTCCTTTTCTCCACGCGCATTCGATGGCAATTAACCATTAACCATGAATTCGAACAGTCTTCCGAGACCAAACGAGATACCAAACAGGATTTATTCCGGTATAAATTGTAAATGCGCGCGACGCGGCATTCATCGATGCAAATGGCGTTCGCCTAGGAAGCGTTCATTTCGCAGCTTCACTTCATTTATTCGGTAAACACGATGGAGGCTGCCAGAAGGAAGCTCTGTGCCGGTTAATTCAACGCGACGACGGCCATTTCTGTGCCGGAAAAAGAGATTGCTGTAATTATCCTTTTACGGCCGGGCCACGATTTCGTAACGTCTCGAGAAACCGCGTCGCTTTTGTAAACGGATATCTACCCGTCGTTGAATTGGCCAAAGCGAAAGCAAGCAAGGAAGGAAGGAAGGAAGGAAGGAAGAAGATAGAAAAAACGAAGGAGACCAGAGGGTGGAAGTTTCAGCAGCTATGAGTTCTAGTAGCTCTTTCACGTTTAAGGCTGGACAGAGCTGGATTTTCTAACCGAAATGAAAGACCCTTTCGCGATCGTTCGTTCCGTTCACTTGTGTACATCTGTAAGAATATAATTTGAAAAGGTATTAGAAAAGATTTAGAGTGTATGTAATAAGAAGTGTTCGAGAATCGATATCGAGTGTCTTAAAATATCGAGAGTGAATGAATCGAGTATGAATTGTTTTCGATAAAAATAATTTGAAGGATGTCAGAATTGTAAGATAAGTATGTGAGTGTGTGATGATTTATATTTTCAAAGATGAAGGAAAGAAGTGATTCTGGGAATGTAAATTATATGAATTAAATATGTCACACATATCGTTATTCGAATTTTCAATTAATCCAGAATTAAATTTTTTTCTTCCTTCGTCTTCTCGCGTCGAATGAGAACCGTTAACTACTTTCCAGATCCAATTATTCCACCGCATACAGGGTCGATGGAATTTCAAGATATTCGATGGAGTGTCGATTTTTTATCCCTCGTCCACGTAATTTTCTTCATTGTACTTCGAGAAGAATGAGCGAGTGAAAGAGGAAGGGAAACGGTGAACTGCATGTTCGCAGCTTGAAGGCTTGAAAGCTGGCTGTATTTCGCAGCGTTTGAAAGCGTTTAAATGCGCAACGATTCGCGGATACTATCCAATTTTATTACTATCCATCTGATTGGCCGATTTCGACGATAAATTTCGACGTGCTAAAAAATTAAAACTATTGTTATATTCGTTTTCGATTTGAAAAATGGCTCAATCGTAGCGCACATTGATCGACGCAATTTAAATTATATTAATTAAATTCGAATGTATCGTATAAGAATAAACTTACGTAGAAATATTGTTTGTAAGATGTAATGGAAGATGTATAAAATAATTTTCTAATTAGAATAACCAAAAAAAAAAAAAAAAAAAAGAAGGGAGAATATACAAGCTAAATATTCCGTGCTGCTATAAAATAACTCTACAAAAATAACCGCGTGGAAAATTATATAGCGAGAAATATTTGACAAACGCGTATAATCGTGCTTGTTGTTAACTTAATTTAAATAAAGAATAACGGATCGATACTTGATAGCGATATTTTTTAAACGTTTGTTATTGAAGGCCAATGAACGATTCTTTTTTTGTTTGATCGAGTGCATTGCATCAATTCGAACGGAAATTGCACGCGAGCATATTTTTCCAAATGACGTCGTCGTCGGTGTGGAAAATTTGCGTTTGTCACGTGCACGATCTATTCACAGGAATGCGTGTACGCGACGTATTTATTATGAGCGGAAATAGTGACCGTTTACAACGTATATATACCCCAATTGTATCATTTATTAAAACGGAGAGAGACTGTTTTATTTGGCGTGCGCGTTTCGGCCTCGCCAGAAACTTTATATCAAGTTTGTACAACAAACAAGCTTTCGCGCAAAGAAATATGATATTGAAATAATGAAAAGAAATATGTAGCTCGAATCTCCCCCTTCCTCCTCTCCTCGTAACGTTTATTATCAAATAAAATTGAAACGAAAGCTTTCCTCCTCTCCTCTCGAAATTAAAATAATATTTCTTTAAAATTGTTTATCGTGAGCTGGAGGAATATTGGTAAGGATCGGCGTCGGTATTATTCTCATTAATTAAAATAAAAAAGGGATTGTATAATTTATATCGGTGGTATACTTTTTTAATTAATGCAAAAATATATCAATCGTCGTAAATAAATAAATAAATAAATAAATGAGAACGCATCGCGCGTAAGGAGAAATTTAACTCGTTTCAACGTGATTCTACTTTGGTATTATTTTATACCTATAGAAATAAGAAAAAAGTATGAAGTAATTTTCTTCGATATATATTCGTAAAACAATAATTCGAGTAGAATTGTAAATAAAATAATCAGACGAACGAGATGCGCTTCGTCGAGCAAGGATAAGTGGCCTCGGATCGCAAGTGGTATACGATCACGTAGAACGAGGCAAGGAGAACAAGTTCATCATATCACCGGACAAGTAGAACAGGCTCGATCCTTACCAGGCGACAACTGCATGGCGCGGATCGTCGCTGATCAGACACGTGATATATGACCTCTCGACGAGTCCACTACTGATATGACATGCGCGAGGTGGTGGACATTCGGACATTCTCTCCACCAAACCCTTTTCTTCTTTTTTCTTTCTTTTTCTCTAAAAAAGGAATAAAAAAACGATAAGAGAAAAGACATTCTGTCTCGTTTATGATCGATGTGGAAACGTAGGAGGCGACGAGAGACAAGAAAATCCTGTTGTTTCAATTTTGATTAATCGAATTTCTCTTTCGGAACGGGATCTTTCGTGCGATCGACTTTTTCAACGATTGTGAACGCGACGTGCTTCTTATAATGGATCGGGAAAGTATCAAAGTAAATTGTAACAACCGAAGGGAAACAATGAGAGCGGGATAATAATAGATCCGACTTTAATGCAGTTTTCCATAAAAAGGGAATATCGGTGTCCTCGAGTCGCCGCCACTGAATGGATAAAGCGGCGAAGGAGGGATTTCCAATCGGTTAAGTACGTTCGTTCCCTTTCCATTATCTATTTCTCGTTACCGCAAATTAAGGTGGGGCGAATATCGAACGAATTTTCTCAACCGGTGAGAAACTAG